ATGGTAAATTTCGTTGGTTGTTTAGCTTGATTAGTAAGCAAATTAGTGGACTAAACTTCATAAAAAAAAATTAATTCGCCATAGAATATTCGTCATAGAATATTAAAAATGTAATTTCTTTCATATTGAATTTTGAATGAAAATTTAATTCGTCATGGAACATTAAAAGATTAATCTTAAAAACTCTTCTTAAACAAAAAAATAATAAGAAATGTTTCATACAACATAAAGCAAATACTCTACCATTTCTTTTTCAAACGTTTTGTTATTATTTTTTTATGGAGAATGTCTCTTACATTTTTTCGTATTTTGTTAAACAAAAACGTTTTTTTTAATTACTATGTGATAATTAGAAAAATATAAGTTTTACATATTAAGTTTATTTAGATACCCATGTATATTTAGAATTATTTAGATCTACAATATCATCATAATCATAGAGCAAAACCATTTTAAAGAAATAAGATGTGAAAAAAGTAAATTAGTTGTTAGTTTTGACATATATAATATACATATAATGGTAATTTTGTTGGTTGTTTAGCTTGATTAGTAAGCAAATTATTGGGCTAAACTTCATAAAAAAATTAAAATATAATATTTTGAACAAAATTATATATTCCAAAATTTAACATATTACCTCATCTTTAATGAAATGGTTCAATATCTTTTATTGAAATAATATATCTTCTTTTTCTTTAGATCACAAACCTCTTAACAATTGTTTGATACTCAAATTATTATTTTTTTTTTATATATCATTTACTTATATTTTTTATGTATGTTCATTTTTGATATTTAAAGTATTGCTCATAATTTATTACATTTGTGTTGTAATCAAAATACGCAAAATAATATTAAATGTAATACTTTTAGTCATTTATTGGCTCATTTTTCATTTTTTTATTTATAAAATTTAATATTTATAAGTAACAATATATATATAAACATAAATTAAATGAAACTTAAATTTAAAATTTGACAAAAAATTCACTAATTGATGCTTAAATTATTTTTAAAAATTGTATCTAGTTTTTTTTTTATCTCATATTTGTTTTTTTGTATGATAGATTAATTGTACTTACATCATATGATATATTTTTCATATAATTAATAACAAAAAACTTTCATTTTCTCCTCTTCACATAGTTAC